AAGGTACTGTCAATTTTATTTGCATGGAATAGTTGAGCAAGATTGTAAAAGAATATTAGTATGCTTTTTCTTTTCTAAGAAAGGGGGGAAAATGTCTTATTTTGGAATTCTCTAATGCTTCTGAGAGCTCAGTCATTGAGTCTTGTCACAACAGTTTTTGGGGGTCTTGCCCACAAAAACTGGGCATACTGGGAGATCTGAAAATTCTGCATCTACTGTAGGAATAATTAACCTACACAATATCTATAAATATATATCAGAACTGAAAATTAGAAAATTCATTCTTTCTTGCCAGGTATTTAGATTTTTTTTAGCCTAGTATTTGCTGCAGTAGTTCATTCAGGGCTATTATAATCCATTGTGCTGGCCTACACTGATTGACTTCTTGGTGCCAAATGTTGTTTTGTAGCCCATAATGGTTCCTTCATGGCCATTAAAATCTATTGTCTCCATGATTATCTGAACGCCAGGGAACAAGATAATGCTGTGGTGCTACAATTACATTGCTAAGCAAAATAACTGTTTATAACTGGCTCCTATTCAAAATAGTTGAAGATACTAGAACTGTATTTGTAGCTAATAGCTTGCTCAGTTCAATTTAAAAAAAAAAAATTTCTATTGTCAAAAGCAGCAACATCAGAAAACATTTTCTCCTAACATTTATTTTATGACATGTTCACATGTTAGTGGCCTACAGGAGGAGATGCCTATGCTGAAGACCTTGCCAAGTCAAGTTGTTCTTCCTTCAACAGCTAAAAATTACTTGCACTATGAATGACTCAATAGGGTAGGTGGCAGGAGGTGAGAAGCTGACAACGTAAGACATCCCAGGACCTTATTTTATATGTTCCCTGTGTGTAAGTATTAGCCATGAGGGTGCATATAGCTGCTGAAACCAGACTAGCAAGCAAAGGCTAGGGAAAAGGAGTGTGTTTCAAGAAAGCATCTGAAGGATTTAACTTAGTCAAATTGAGCATCAAAAATAGATACCTACCTAGTACATGGCTTAGGCTGCTGCCAGGAATTAAAAGAGCAAACTAAGCTTCAGAGGAAATCTGGTTATATGGAGGAGCAGGGAAGGCAATCTGGAAGTGCCGGACAGAATTGGGTTTGGTCCCATTGGAGGCAGTTTGGCTGCCATCTGTTACATGCTCCAGGCTGAAGCCTGCTTGTATTCACACTGACTAGCAAAAGCAAATCAGCTGACAAAACCTTGGGCAGCCTTTCCGTTTGTGTTGGACTGGCAGCTCTGAACTTCCTTTTGTATCAGTCACACACTCCGGATTCCTGCCCACATCTGCCATTCCCTCTGGTCGAGTGCTGCATCCTGGTCCCAAACACACATGAAATATGGAGTGAAGCACCTCCACCGATGCTCTGCTGCCTGCCCACGGGGTTCTGGGTACGTTAGGTCCCATTGTGAGCAGAAATACTTCCATACCTCTATGGTCAGTCTTGCAGCTCACATGGTCAACTTCAAGCTTGTGCTCACCTAAAGACTTTGTCCACTCTAATATTTTATTTGCTGGCTCTGTATGTTAAAACCTAAGCATTTGTTAAAATTCAGTGATAATTCTGCAGATTTGGTCCCTTCTGTGTCAGCAAACAGTAGCGCTGTTCTTCATCCTCAGCCTATGGAAGCGCTTAATGCTGAAGTCAAGGACACAAAAAGAAGGGGGAGAAAGTCTGTTGGCAATTACTTCTGGGCAGGGAAATGGTATTGACATAACGTTATACTAACCATTAGTCTTCCCTGGGCAGTTTTCCTTACAAGTCAAGGAAAAAATGACAGTGTAATCTAGCAAATTTCAGGAAAAAAAAAAAAATCCTTATTTTGAGTGTGCTCTTACAGAAGAGGGACTTTGTGCAGCTATAGTATTGTCTTTTAAACATATCCTGATGAAGTGAAAGGAAAGGAAGGACAAATCTTCTGTAATGTGACTGTCTTTTGTTAAACGCTTGAAAGGGAAATGCCTGTGTAACAGCAGTATGAAATGCAATCTCACGGCGGTGCTGTACATTGTATATTGATTTTAGTTTCAGAGCAGTTATCTCATTCAGAGTGAGCAGCTTTGATCTACTGGCCTAGGATTTGGGAGGCTTTGCTTCAGTTCCTAATTCTGCCTCTGGTTTGTGGGATAATTTTGGAAAGAATGGCACTTCTGTGTCTCTTTAAAAACAAAAATATCACACACTTTTTATCCAAATACTGCAAATTCAAAGCCTTTCTCCTTCACAGCTTGCTGTGAACATGGCATGGGTCAAACCTTCTGTTCAGCCCACCACTGGGTCTCTTTGCCTGGTGGTGGGATCTGCTTTGCCTGGTGTCTGAGCAGGCTTTCCCCAAAACGGTTTGAACTGTTTTGACACAAGAGACACTGCAGAGCTCATACCGGTGATATTCCCCAGGTCTTTTATTATTATTCCTTCCATGATAATCAGAGATAAAAGGAGCTTGATAGGTTCATGAGCTACTTTTTGTTTGGGTGACTTTCTTAATGATGAGCTTATGTCCCTATTTTTATACTGAAGACAGTTTTCCTGTGTTTCATTTTTGTAATCTGTTACATAAAGCAGAAGTTCAGCATCTATTACAATTATTTTCCAATGGATATTGTTTCTGCTTGCTTTAGTTGGGGAAGAGTTTGCTTTTTGCTTCCTTTCCAAGTTTCCAACTATAATTAGAAGTTAGTGCTTCAGTTATTTTTCACGTAGTAAGGAGGCTTAGAAAACTATAGCTGACAATTAGTGGCCCTGACTGAATAGGTAATGTGTGGTTGAACAGGTAGTTATTTGTACCTTTTCTTTGCATGTCAGTATGTTGAATTAGGTGCTTGTGAAATATTGCAGAAGAATACCACTGGCAAAGGATTCTTGCTAGAGTGAGTTGTTTTCTTACATGAACAGTAACAGAGAATCCAGGGAAAGAAATTTCCACTATTGGAGTGTACACAAGGAAGCAAAAATCTATTTACCTGGACAGAACAGGCTGTACTGAGGTGCTCTGGCCCCTCTGCATGTTTGCACATGCCCAAAACACAATAAGAAAGCAAATGTGAGATTAAAAATGTTAGGAGTAGAGAAGTTAGAAGCCAGCTCCCCGGTAACTGGTAAAAGGCAGGCTGCAGTTGTGAATCCTGCCACCACAGCCCTCGCTTTGTCAGCTGCTGCCTCTGCTGCTGGCCAGGATTTTGGTCAAGTCACTTGAGATTCACGCTGGCACGCTCCAGCACTTCCCATCTCTCGGGTTTATGGAAGCTCCCAGCTCCAGCTGGGCAGGATGAACCCTAGGCTGTGAAGCAAGGGTCCGGCGGGGACCCTTGGTCATGAGTTAAGCTGTGGGGAGGGGGTTTCATGGCTGGACGCTGGGGCTCCCACCTCCTGCATCCACCCAGGGACGTGAGCAGGGCCCCCCGGGCACTGCCGCGGGAGGACAGCATCCAATGGATACAGAACTGCTGGTGTGTGTGGTGTCATGGAAAGTCCTGGGGGGGGGAAGTTGGGGTGATTTTGCTGTGAAAAGCTAAGAGGGAGTTTTGAAAGCTGTGATCTAAAAATGTTCTGTTTTCCTTATCTTAAAAAAGGAATTTCAAAAATGAAACTGACCATTTGTGCCGTGGATTAAAAAAGGAATTTCAAAAATGAAACTGAACATCTGTGCCATGGTAGACAGGCATTTTTGTCAAGTTTTGTTGGTATCTGGGGTTTTATTTCTGTTAAAGTAAAATGTGAAGGGCATAATATTGACAAGACTATTACAATTATAATTTGAAATAATTTCCATTTTACACTGAAACTGACAATTTTAAAATTCTAATTTAGCAAGTCAGTTTAAGACTGTCAATTTTTCACAGTTATAATTAAGTAGATCTAAATTCATCCTTGAAATCTGTGGAGATGATGACAGGGAAATCAGATATATATTCTAGCCAAACTAGGGAAGAGAAGCTCAAACTGGGGGGGAGCTGTGAGGTTTACCTCTTGACAAGCTTCCTCTTGTTGATTTGGGTTTCACACCACATAATCTGTGATTGTCTCCCATCCACAAAACATGTACAAGAAAGATTTTTTCCTTTTGTCTCTTGTTTCTTTTGTCTTCTGTAAAGCAGAAGCTTTCTCCCGCCTGCATATACAGCATCAGGGGCTTTCACCTCAGCTGTATTGTCAAAGTGCCATTGTAATATAAATCATAAAATATAGTTTTAAGATGAAAGATTTTTTTACATCTAGAGTGTGATGGCCATGTGTGCACACAAGGGAAAATTATTTGTGAGAATTTTGAGGGGAAAAATGTGATTAAGAGCCATGTTGCTAGTGGGTAAAAAGAGTCAGAAACATAAGGATAAAAATCCTGTCTCAGATGTGATTTATAACTATTCAAATCAGGCTCAAGACTTCAGACAATAGAGAAGTGAAAGCAGAAACTGCACAACAGAGAGCAGGCAGCAAGGCAAGGAACTGTGTTGGAAAAATGAATGAAATAAGTTATGACTGTGAAGCCCTGTGGGGAGTTTGGCCAGCCAGGAAACCAAATCAGTCCTTGCACTTTCCATTCTTTTTTCCTATTTGGCTCTGACAGAGGAAAGTATAATATATTAATATACAACTTCATCTCAAGTTGGGTTTTTTTTTGCATATCACTACTTTAATTAGAAAGTAAAATATTCTCAGCATGTCTGCTGGGCTAAGCAGTCAAAAACCTGGGCTGTTATCTGACTTTGGCAGCTGAAAGGGGGCTGTGGAGAACATAAAACTTGCCCTGACTTCAGTGAGGAACGACAGAAAAATCAGGCGGGCAGGTCTGATAGATGAGCGGCAGCTTGTATTCAGCATGGGAAGACAACAGGGTCTCTAAACAAGCTGCACTCTGTGTGGTCCTTCCCAAGGCTCCGTGTTTCAGAATTACTTTATTAAAGAGCAAGGTCACCATGATTAATTGTACAACCAGTATAACTTCTTTGCTCTGCTGGATAATTACCGCTCTATGTTTCTGTTTGCAGTGGATGCGAAGGCAAGTGTTGCACGGCATAATGTGGCCAATTCTTCCCTGAAGACAATGGAGCAGAGCCCCCCTCCCGAGGCGGGCGGGCAGAGCCTCGGGAGCGCTGCCAGGAGCACTCGGCCATCTGCTAAATCCTGCTCTGTCTTCACGTTTTCATGGTCTGTACCAGGGCGTACTGAAGATCCAGCTACAGATTCATCAGTTGGATCGGCAAAACTTGATGTCAGTGTGGGGGCACCCGGGGTGAACAAAGCGCTGAGTGACAGCGCGGAGGATCCCGCGGCAGCTGTGCGGGAGGAAGACGCGGATAAAAACCTGACCCGGGCCCCGCCAGCAGCATCGCTTTGTGACATCGACCTCGCAGCATCCGCGACACCTGAGGGAGAGGATGTGGCCATCTCAAAGCCAAAACAAGTGACCTTCTTTGAAAGGATCTTCAAACTGGAGAAGGAGAAAGAAAAAACACAAATTGATTCCCAGGAGGAACGGCAGGCTTCAGACCTTCCCAACGGGCGTGCAGCCGCAGAAGAGGCGGCTGGGCTACAGAGCACATCCAATGGTGTCCCACAAGGGAAGGCAAGTGATTGAACAGGAATATCCATTTCGCTCTTAATGAAACCTCTTAGGAGTATTAATAGCTCAGGACAACTTGATGTTGTGATGGTTGTGTGAATGAATCAGTGTTGGTCTCAAGATTACTGCAGGTACCCCCTGCGGCGGTGGCTGACAGGGGTGGGAGGAGAACCAACGGCGGAGTGGTAATGGCTCCGATGGCTGCCTCGGGACTAAGCGCTGGCATCTGCCCTCCGGTTTAAGTTCATTTGTATTTCTCTGAATGGTTTGGGCAAGATAGCTCTGTTCATGCTCCAAATGCCAGGATGATGAACAGCAGCCAGCTATGAATAAAAGCAAAAATACCTGAAAGTAAAACTGTTTCTTACACTTTAGGAGCTTGGAGTTAGACAATTGGTTAAAGAAATTCTTTAGCGTGTTTTGTGCCCTTCTTAAAACAGTCACTCTTCTTGGGCAATAGCTGCTTGCTGCATACCTTACCAGAATAAGGAATATGCACTAGCAATTTTTGCACTTTTAGCTACTGTAACACAACTGCTATTGACTTCACTGGAGAGGTGCTGGTATACATTAACTGGTGGTCTAGCTCAAATCCTGTCCAATATCAGGAACAGGAGGGAGAAACTAGCTGCACGGCCCCCTCGTTAGAATCCATGTGTAAATGCTGGTTTAATAGTAACTGCTTTTATCAGCTTCTTTCAGGCTTACAAATTAGACTGCTGTATGATCACGTTCTTTGAACAGTGTTGAACATCATTCACTGCTTGCACTGACAACATTGCAGGTTGTCTCCAGAAGTCTCTTCAATTCCTATTGTTCTAGCTTGTCTTCTCTATCCCTTATCTCCTCAAAGTTGAAGATCACATTTCTTGTATAAACTTACAAATTGTAATATTTCCCTGAAGATTCATTTGTAAGATTAAACAGCTGCACTTTTGACCATTGCCCTTCCAAAGTGGCACCTATCGGTAATATTTCAGACAGCTATATATGTGCATTTACATAATCTGTAGTCTCAACCTGGCAGAATATCAAGTCATTCACTACATAAACAGAACAGGCTGAATAATTCAGAATGAATAATCTATTCAGTGCATACTGGCACTTCTGTTTGTAGCTTAAGACTGAAGCTTTTCAACACTGTAAATTCCTGCAGATATTTTCGATTAATACACACAAAGAATAAATTTTGCCTGTGGCTCGCAAGAATTGTTACATTTACAATCAAATGCAAAACTCATAATTTCCTATTTTGCTGTGATTGCAAACTACTGAGTGTCAAAGGTCACAGTTTGTGCTGAGGGAGTAGCTCAGTGTGAAACTCCTTCTGTAATGAAATAACAATCTGAAAGAGCTCTAACCAGAAGTTGGAGTTAAACATTTTCTGGTAGCAAATAAATAGTTGTGTTGGGAAAGCTCAAGTAAGCGTTTGTAACAAGCAACCACTGGGGGACAGGACAAGATAACCTAAATCTTATTCTGCTGGTTCAAACAGACACTACATGCACTGTTCTTTCAGTTCAAGGTTTTTATATCAATAATGCTTATTAATTTAGAATTTTGTTCCAGTCTTCATCTTATACCTATCCACATCCTGAACCTCACTGATGGGAATAATCTGGAAATCCCAGGCACTCACCAGTGGGAGGTGGTTTGGTATGTGTGTCCGTGTTTGCAGGATCCCAGCCCACACAACAGCTTTTTGGTGCCTGGGTGCCTGCTTGAGGACAGGTCCCCTGTTTACCAGAAGTGCCTGTACGTGTTTAACACGTGTGTTTAAAGCTGTACCACTGAAAATCTTTGAGGACTCACAAAATTGGGGTTCAAGTTGCTCAGTGTAAATGACAGTGGCAGAACCGTATCCCAGGGGAGAGTGAAATTTTACCCTTATTCTTGAATTTCCAGGCTATAATTTTTGTATTTCATTCCTCAGAGATGAAAAGGGTTATATGTTGGGGGCAGAGAGGATTTAAGGACCTTTTCTGGGAAAAATAGATCCAATAAACACTTCTGATTTGTTGCCAAACTTAAACTCCATTTCTGAGACAAAGGCTGGCTCTGCCTTGCAGCACAGTTGCCTTCTGTTCCCTCTAAAGTTGCTTGTTGTCATGTAGGATGAGAGAATGACCAAGTCTAATTTAATTGCTGTTACTGTAGTAACTGTAAACTGTTACCAAATAATCATACTAAAAATCCAGATATTGCTGCCAACAGTTTTTTTTATTGGTGCACTATGACCTGTAGTATCTGTAAAAGCTCAAAGCAAAGTTTCCCTGAATTGAGTGCCAACACAAAACAAACAGCATTGCTGGTAAGTCAGAGAGAGGCTCCACAGTTGTAGCTTTAAGAGCTTCACAAACATTCTGTGTTTGGTGAACCACTCTTTATTTTTGTGGTCTACAAAACTACATTCAGAACACAGCATAATTAAAACAAGGACAGAATTCATGAATTCATGAAGCATTTACTATGTAAGCCAAAGAAAAGATAAATTATATGCCTGAAATGTTTCACTGAGCCATGATTCATACAAACAAAAGTGCTGGCAGGGAGATATTCTTTTGATATGTTTTTCTAATGGGTGAACTGAAACTACAGTTGAAGTATTTAAGGTGTTTATTACCCCAAAATTTTGCTCCCTAAAGAAATGAACATTTACACAGTATCTGTTAACTTCTAATACTGAGTTTCCCCTGTTATTTCTAGAGCTTTCTTTCATTATTTGCCTCTGGGGGTCTGCACAGCACATTATGAGCGAGCTGCTGCAGAGGTTTTTGTGGTTATTTGACCATGGCTCTGAAAACGGGATACAGCAGGACTCCACATTATCTCTCCCTGATTTATATGCTGATAGCCTGAGTCTGTGCTCCTTCCTACAGCAGAATTCCCACAAAAGCACAGGATGGATCACAGCATCTATCTATGTCCAGATTTGAGCTGTATCTCGGTAGCTACCAGCAGCCTTGGCTCGGGATCCTGGCGCAGGGTTCTGTGCAGTAGCGGGTCATTACGGGGCCCCTTCGTGCTCTGCAAGTCAGAGTTCAGGGATTTTTGGCCAGCGACATGCTTCAAGCTCTGTGTGGGCTTCAATAGCTTTCACATCTGCTGGGCAAAGTGTGGCTTTAGTGGGGACATACCCTGGAACCCCCAGTGCTGCCGGGGTGGTACCTGTCACCCCTGGAGCTGTCCCAGGTGGTGTCTGCTGCTGACAATGCTGTGTTTGCTCAGTGCTCAGCAAAAAGATCCCTTCCCCCTAAACAGGGTGCAACACCAGAGCTTGGAGTTTTGTATGTTAAAAAAAAAAAAAAAAATTGCTTATTTTTGACTGATAACATCAATTAGCAAAGAGTTGGATAGCACTAAGTACTTCGGTAATAAAGCTAGTATTGTTTGGCAACATATCTTCTGCCTCCTGCTTCTCTGGTCTCTTGCCTCACGCCTTTGTTGCCCCTTTTTAATATCTGAAATAGTGCCAGCATTTTTTGTATGACCAGAGCTCTTCAGATGGCATCCCTGGAAGCCTGGCTGCCAAAGCTGGCGTGGCCACGCGTGTTCTGCATGGGACAGATTGTTCTTGGAGCTGCCGTGGCCCCTGGCTGGCAGCTGGACAAAGTGGTGTGTTCGGCCCTTGTGAGAAACTTCTAAATAGCCTGTTGAAGCACTCTGAACTACTGTGCTGTGTTTCTTCCTGGGTAAACTTGGAAAATGGTGGGTGGAGAATTAGAAGTCTGTTCTTGCAAGTAAAACCTTGTGTATTTTAACCCCTTAAATGCTGCATGGAGACTGGCCACTCCACGCTCATCTTTCCTGATGCCAAATTATCCCTCTGAAGTTTTCACTCATTTATGCATCTTCAGCTTACTCCTTCCTTTAGTGACCTACAGAAATATACGTCCTCTGCGAATCCTATACAAATTTTTTTTTTAAACCTCCTGGTACAAGGAAAGATTCTCAAGGTTACAGTTTAACATTTTCCTCATAAAAATGGCATTTAACCAGTATGTCTAATCAGTAGGTTAGGAAAAAGCCCTTTGTGTCATTTGGACCTCCAGGTAGAGTTTTGAGAGGCAGTGATTCAAAGATGCTTTTTCCTGGAGACATCTGTTTTATTTCTTGTCCTATTTCTACATCTAGAGTAATCTGGGCATCTGGTATCCCAACTGCTGCTTCTCTGGTTGCTGTTTCCTAAGTGACGAGGTGTGTACTGCTGCTGAAATAGTTGGGGATGATAACTTCTGCTGAAGACATACGGCAGTGCTGTGATTGTCCATTCAATAATGGCTCCAATCCTCTACCAAAGTGGAGGCCACCATCATACTAGGCACCATTTACTTTAATAATTGACAGATCTGGCCCTGCTCTTACAATGTAGACAGACAAAAGGCAAAAGGATTCTTGGTAACAGACTTGGATACTAGCCAGATGTAATACTCTTTAAATGTTAAAAAGGGAAATGCTGAACGTGACTTAAGGACTTGTCTCAAGCTGCTCTCTCCTGCATAAAGCTTGTGTTGGCTTCACCTGTGCAGGCTCAAGGCAAAAGTGGCCAGAATGGTAAAGTCAGCATAAAAGGGAGCCAAGCTCTCCCAAACTGGTCTAAAATGAGTTTTTTAAAAAACAGACGCTTAGGTGTCTAAACAGAAACTGAGTAACTTCCGAATATTATATACTTAAGTGCCTGAGCACCAGGAAAGCATTTTTGGGCTCTGGGAAGTGTAATTCCAGGAAGAGAGGAGGCAGCTCCATCTGACTCAGAAGAATTACTTTGGGTTGTTGGTTTTTTCATTCTTTTAATCTGTACTGTGTTTGTGTTTGCTAGATTGAAACTATTTCTGGAATTGCAGAATACAGAGTATTGGAAGCAATCTCTGGTACAATCACACACTGAGCCGTCAAAGGCCAAAATCTCAGTGTTTGTTCCTATTTGCAAGTTTAGCCTTGAAAAGAGAAAAGTGGCGTTGTTTGGGGTGCTGTCTGCAAGTTTGCTTGTGTTTGTTACACTTGGTGGCTGAGAACAGTGTTCCTCCAACCAATGACAAATGTAGAATATATTAGAAAAGAGGGGAAGAGGTATAAATGCTCAATTGTTCTAAATACGTAGGCTGGAGAAGTATGGTTGGAATTAGGGTTGTGACTCTCAGAGCAACATAATGCAAGTCACAAATGTTACTTTTGCATTCCACTGGAAATTAAGTGAGCTAGGACTGAGGAAACTCTGCCCCCTTATTTTTTTTTTGTTTAGGAGATAGATGACTGCAACCAAAAAGACGTACGACAGGACTCAGCAGGTGTCAGTGGTCTCACTGCTGAGCAACCTGAGAAGGCAGAGGTGAACCAATACAACCCCCAGCCAGCTGCTGCAGTGGACAACTCCGTCATGAGTTTCCTTAAAACACTGGTAAGTTTTTGCCTTTCATTTTCATTTCTAGGCTGTCCTTTAAATTGCTTATAAAAATCCCATGGGGACATGTTGAACTGAATGCAATGTGTTCACTGTCATGGGCATTGAGAAGGAATGGAGCCAAACAGATGCCTTGGAGAGGTACTTTAGAGTGACAGAGATGTGTAGGTACTACGCAGTTACGATCAAATGATGATGACTTACTCTGGAAGCTTCCTCTTCTGCACATATACTTGTAGACCTGGAGATATTTAGCCATCTTAATATTTTCTGCACATTGAAACTTTTTGGAAAAATGTCTAAAAGATCATTTTTATGGATTAATTGGATGTATAAGCTTGAAAAATATATCTTTGGTTCAGATACTTTTCAATTTAGCTGTTGACTTTAAGTTGCTATCAAGAAACATTTATAATATAAACTTTTCTATATGTGGAGGGGAAGCAATATTTGTACTTTTTACCTTTGTGCTTGAAAGAACTGCTAGTTTCAAACAGATAAGCTTTCAGATCTTTTGAAAGATTGAGATGGGTGTGACTAGGGTTTTTTTTCTCAAATATATTTTAGGTCTCCCCAAGCAAAGCTGAAGCCAAAAGTGATTCTGAAGACAAGGTAGGCAGATTCCTCTTTCTGTGACTGATCACTAAATGTTTTTGACGCAGGGCAGGACCAGGACTTGCAGGGAGAGCTGCCCTTCCCTGACCGTAAGGGATTCTTCCCTTTACATGCAGAGATGAGGATCAGGTTTTGTAAGCAGGGTGAATTGACCACTTGAGCTGTTCTAATACAGTGCATTAGCCTGACTGCAAGTGTTTGTTCTTGTGGGGAGCTGAAATGTGTATTGGCTGGACAGGAACAGAACCAGTCTGAGAAACTCCTCTGTGTAATGGGCAGATGTGGCCCCTTGCTTTGCTCTTTACAAATCATTTGTTCTTGGATTCCACTGGCAAGAGGAAACTTGTTGTTAGCATCCATGAGTAGTGATGGTCTTTCATACATTAATTCAGATAAGCTTCAATATTATAGCTTTTAATTTGTTATTATAGATACAGAAAATATCAGGTTGACCCAATGTATTTACTAAACTTAAAACCAAAATACAAACATAAAAACCTCCCACAAAACTACAACCAAACAAAAAAAACCAGTGGAAAAACCTAAACTGTAAAAATTTGAAGTTGAAAATATAATCTTTTAAAACAGAAAAATGCAGGTGTTTGAAGATTTCTCCTTTCTGCTTCTTTCCTGTTGAGTTAGCACCAAGGCATAGTTTCAACAGGAGTGAAACAATTTGTTTAAGCTGCCTTCTATCTTCTGGCATTTCAGTGGCCTACAGGCGTATCACTGACTGTCTGCACAACTGGGAACTTCCAGATTAAATGTCTTTTACATGTTCTTATGACTATGATAACTGCAGTTTCTCTCGCAATACCTGTGATAAAATATAATTAACACATAAAGAAGAAAAGCTTAAAGGAAATGGTCTTTCCAGGCAGCTGTCAGATAACCAGAATCACTATTGGCATTATCAACATTTTTGTTTTCATTCCTTTTTTTTTTTCCTTTTGTCCCATTCAATTTTTATATAGCCTGGTACCAAAATGGTGAAGTCAGTACATGGGGGATACACATCACTCCTTGTTTTATAGCTCAATAATTCTGCAAATTGTCGGCCAGAACTGAGGTCTTCCAAGATATCCAGAAGAGGTAGTTATCAAATTGCACTGCTTCAGTGAGATTTTTCAACAACTTCTGAAAAATACAGTTGTTAGCCCTGTTTGCATACCTGACTTTATCAAACGCACCCATGTGCTCCTGTAACAGGTGATGGTTGGTACAGGTGTACTGTAATTTGGAAATAAATATGCTGTTTGGGTTTGGTTTGCTATCACGCCTGTGAGGGTAAACAAACCCAGATGACTAGCAGGATAAGCAAACTCATTATATAGAGGTTAAATGGGAGTCGATTTTTATGAAGAGTTCCTTTATCTTCACTAATTTTTTTCCTTATACAAGGAGTGATGTTTTCACTCCATTAAAGGAAAAATATATTAAAAAGGCTAACCTGGCAGCTGCCAGATAGAAAAGCTGCGGATTTTACAGCTGATACATACAATGAAATAGCAGTAATTTTCCCCTTGAGAAATAACTCCTGTCTTAATGGTAAAGCTGTGTTCTGTGTGCAGTCTGAGCCTCTCCCGGGTGCTGCGGGGCTTTCGCGTGGCTCGGCTGGCACAGGGACCGCTGTGCCTGAGTCCTGCTCACACTTTCATTTTGGCTGCTTACACACCCCCTTCAGAGGGAGGAGCTGGGTCTGTCACACGAGGACTGGCACATTCCCAGTGTCTCAGCAGTGCTCTCCCACGGCACAGAGGACAGAAAAGCTTTCTTGTAACTCTGAGGAGCATCCCCAGCCCACCTCAGCTTTGCAAAGCCCGATGCAATGTGCTGTCATCAGCCATGCCTCCGGCTTTAACCAGCTGGGTAAAGATGTGTGCTTTCAGCAGCCTGGGCACACCCTTAGTGGTTGTCATTTCTGTGTGTAAACACAAGAGTTTAATATGAGCCGAGTCATGCCTCGTTGGATTAAATGATCCTTTGCAAGTTTATCCTAACCAGCACGGCAGTCAGGTCAGATCTGCCCTGGACCATCTAGCTGACCCTTCTGTAGCAGACCCTGACTTGTGCCCACATCACTGTGTGTTTGGGAATAGTGGGAATGGCACAGGGTACAGCATGGAAAAATGGCCAGTTCTGATGCCACGGACCCCAGCCTCTTCCTAGTACAAAACACTGTGTAAGAAGCATGGCTCTGGGTGTTTGGGAATAGTGGGAATGGCACAGGGTACAGCATGGAAAAATGGCCAGTTCTGATGCCACGGACCCCAGCCTCTTCCTAGTACAAAACACTGCGTAAGAAGCATGGCTCTGCACTGAATGAAACAGTCTTGAGAGCAAGATCTCAGCTTCACATGCCCATGTGTGTTACATGCTCTGCTCTGGACCTTTCCTCCTATTAGTTGTGGTCAACTACGGTGCTTGATGCTTCACGTAGTGAATACTGCAGGCTGATTGATTCTTTGGAGTTCGGGTCTCTTCATCATTCCTGGAAGTTTTTGTCAACCCATTTTAAAGCTTTTTACTGATTGGAAGCTTTTTTTTTTTTTGCTTTGTTTAAGTGTAAAAGAAAACAGAATGAAACTTGCAAAGGGAGAAGCTAATTAGAGAGTGAACACTTGAGTCACCACTCATTGAAATATGATTTTTAAAATTTGTGTTTCTTTGCTATATGTGGGACCAATTCTTAATTAAATCAGAAAATAAACTGTCTAAGGGAGATCAGAATGAAGTCCAGGATACTAGCAAGCAGTAAGTAAAAGAAATACTCCGTCCTCCTTTGTACTAGGTAATCAAAGGCATCTTCCTGCTTTAAAACCTGATGCTGTGAGACACTGAAGAGTGAAGAATGCTGCCCCATATTGTTTGTGATTAATCATATATTGTGGGCATATGCACAGTGTAGGTACCATAGAACAGACTCTTGTGTTAACTTGTTTGTATGTTGAAGCTCAGTTAAGCAACTTTGGAAACCTGTGTCTGTGTCCTTCTCCTTTTCTTTTGTTATTGCAAAGTTGAAAATGCTGGGGAATGAAGGGAAAACCCTGATTGTTCATAAGAGGAAAACACAAGCTTTTTTCCTGGACTGACAAATCCAGAGGGTTGTGTTGAAGATTTGGGGTGGGGGGGAAATAGGAACAGAGAAATTCTCAAGAGGTTCTTGAATTTGGAAATGTATTTTTTCAATGTTGTGAAAAGTTAAATGGAACATTTTAGGAAATGTCATGCAAGTGTTTCCAAGACTTGTAGAAAAGGTGTATATTTGAATAGGCCCCCCTCTATCCTATGCAGGGTAATTTATTCTGCACTGAGCTGCAGGTAGTTTTTTTTAAATAGCTTCACACCGCTTTTTCCATCTAGATGTTGATACGAATGTTTTTCTTTAATTTATAGCTCTTTGCAGTGGAATTTCAATGTGCTGCCCAGATGTTTAGAGATCTAGTCTGTAATGTCAGTGGGCAATGATTCCCAAAATAAGGGTCTTGTGTAGACATTCCCAATGGCATGAAAAGGAAGCAGTGCTTTCTGCTTCAACACCTTTAGTATCAGTCTATCATTACTATTTTTCTGATACTTTTATTTCTAACTTATTTCATGAATATTAGTGCAAATTTGAAATATTTTATGTAGTATATATCATGAATATTCATACTGTTCTTTTCCTAAATAATGCGTTACGCAAAACATTTTGAAGTCCCTATAATACTGCAATAAAAAGCATGAAGGTATTTTCAAAGATTTTTATATCTGTCTATTCTAAGCTTATGAGTAGCCATCTGGATTTGGAAATTATGAATTTAAAATGCAGAAGTCTCAGTGGGATTTGGGTCTCAGCTGAATGAAGATTGGATGGGAGGGGACAAACTGGTTTAGTTTTGAGTCAACTGGATTGCCGTAGCTTTTGTGTTTCTTTCACTACTCACATGAAAGAAAGGAGAACTGAGTGACCACTCAGAAGAAAACATAATTCATTGTGTAGGGGAAGAAAGGAATGTTTGTTTTTAATGCTACATGTATGAGTGCTTGAATGTTTTCTGTGAACCAAATAATAACTTTGCAATAAACACTCAACTTCAAATGCTGTTGTACAAAAGGGATCGAAAGCGGAGAAAGGCCATGGTGGGCAAGCTGCTCCGAAGACAGCGGCAGAATCCCCAACTAAAGGAGCCAAGAAAAAGAAGGCAGAGAGTCCCAAGCTAGGACACAGTACCTTTAGTAAACTCTTTAGGCATAAGGTCTGTATGAAACCAACAAGAGCAGAACCCTGAGCAGTAACAGATGGCTTCTGTCACAGAGCAAAGTAACTGAAATCAGCATCTGGCCAGCTGTGCTGTGCTCTGAAAACAATGGGTGTGAGCACTCCTGTGCCATGCATTATAAAAACCATCTTCATGTGCAACGTTTCTCTTGTTATACCATCTGTGAATTCAGGATTCTGAAACAATTCCTCTCACCTTCCCTGCTACATGCTTCTCAGTTACACTTACTAATGCTGGCTAAACCTCCCTGGATGCTTAAAATAAAAATAAAATAAAAGGTACTAACAGCAAAGAATTATGTAGATACTGAACAGCACCTATGGTTGTAGGACAGGTTTAAGACCTCAGTCCAACTACAATTAAGGCTTTCTGATCCACATTGCTTTAACATGCTCTGTCATGTGGTTAAAACTGTGATTTGGTGAATTGGGGAATCTGATATGGCACAGAGAAGGTCGGAACATGGAATTTCCTTCAGGAATAGTTACTTTTCAGTGAAAACAAGAAAAGTAATTGATTGATTTTTAAGTTTAGGTTGGATGGAAAAAGTTTGGGTTTCAAGGATACTTTAAAGTTATTCAAAATGTACATTTTTCCTGCACATTTTTCCTGGTTTGGAGAACATTAGCTCTTATCTTGGGGGAAAAAAAAGAAAATCACTGAAAGATTTTCATCAGCGTTGCTCTCAAGGTCCACATTTGGGCATTTCTGCATTTTCTGAAGTTAATCTGATGTTCTGTGGCAAAGCAGCAGAGAATTGTAGCTTTTTAGCCCAAAGAATGTAGAAGAAAGACCCTTCCACTGGGGGAGGAAAGTAATTAATATTTAATCCTCACTCAAAACACCCACATGGAATTTCTGGTGAGTAGGGGGCTTTATAATCAAGGGCAGAAGGCAAAGGGAGTTCTTTAAGACATTTTCAGAACAAAATTTCTTTCCACTGTCTTCTCATTTCTGAGATAAAAATGTCATCTGCATGTCACTGAAGGAATAATCATCTTCCCAAAGCATTTAAGTCTGCAGTTCTTGCCAACAGCTTCAAGATCTCATATCTACTACATTGATAGCTAATAGTTTTGATATTTAATACAATTAAAATATGAATTGCTTGTTCATAATGAATTAGGGCTTCCTGCTAGGTAAAAAAAAAAAAATACCTGGCTAGCATCTCCTATAATAGTTCAAAATCTTGTAAAGAGTTGTTGGGAGAGATGATTGGTTTTCATTAGGCTATCTGATAGAATTTTAAAGGCTTTTGGTCTGTACAGTTATCTCAAAGGAATACAACAGCACTAAATTTTTACAGTCATAAAATCTGTTGTCTAAAACATCATTACTTTTAATAGTTTTTTCTTGTTTCTAAGTTTATTTTCTCATCTTTCTGTCTACTTACACAATACAGAAGCAATATGTGGGCTATCCATTTTCTTAACATGTCATAAATGAGATGGAATAAAATGGTGCCAACAGTTTGCTTGTAGGGCTGAATGAAAGCGGAAATTCAAATTGGAGCAGTGATATGACAGGCAAGGCCTGAAGATATCACTTCTAGTACAGAGGGGGGAAAAAAAGTAGTTCTATTTATCTCTTTTCATTTGAAATGCCTTAGCATGATGTGTCAACTAGATAAATAGGTAATAAATTCCTTTATCTTATTATTTTAATATACGTAATCATATTTAATTTTAAGCATTTCACTCTTTTCTGAACATTCTGCCTCTGCAAGTCTTCCAAAATGCACTTCTTGGTATGTTAGTTAGAAAAGATTTACTGTTAGGTTAACAAACATTGATTTTTGTGTCCTGTGTTTACGTAAATACTAACTTTAAAGCAACTTGTACTGAAGCCAGCTCATGGCATTACACTAGCTTTCACCACTTTCTCTGGATCTTTCTCACTAGATCTAACCACAAAAAGAAGTTCTTGGTTCCTGCAAAATACCTCTCACCTATTCTTTCAAGAAATCAGCAGAGTGTCTGTCAGGCTGCCTAAACCCAGGGGTGCTGGGCACTCATTTATTGGAGTTTGTGGTTTGCTGCTCCTCTTCTTGTACAGCTCAGACACTCATCTCCAGCGTAAGCTATGCTGGCTGTTGGGGTCAATAGATACTGATGTGTGTCCCTGGCTAGAAAGGAGTTAAACTGGATCTCTCCTGGCTTCATGTATTTTCGTGAAACCAGGAGACCATCACTGTGAATTTTTTTTTATTTTTTTTTTTTTTTTTACAAATGAGTAATTCCACCTAATGCACAAATGGGAGTGGATGGAATAATCCAGCCTCCAGCACCTTCAGAGGTTCTCTTTGTAGAGATGTAGCTCCTGCTTCTAAGTTATAAAGCCACTGCTGTTCTGTGCCCTGCACTTCCAGGCACTCATCTGCCTGTGTTTGGTATCCCAGAAAGCAAATCTGCCTGCTTTGAAGGTGACATGAGCACATCCCTCACTGGTATGCAGTTCCCCCCATGGGAAAGACCCAGCTCTGGCTTGTACGTGTGCACTGAAAGTTGCACACGCAGACCCAGCTCAGAAAAAACAAAAATCTCTGCTAATCTTAAAACCATGTGTAATGTCTTAACTGAAGAAACTGGGAATGCATGTGTAAATTCATGTGTTTTTAAAGAACAAGTTGAGGGCTGCAAGCATGGTAGCACGAAGCAGGCTGCGATGCTCTGCAGGTAGAAGGATGGGCGCTGGCAGTCCCAGCAGGCAGCCCCCCCTCTGCCTGGGTGGTTTCCATGGTTGCAGGAGCCAGGACTTTCGCAAACATTCACTAAAAATAAAATAATTTGTGACACAGACAATTCCTGAACTGTGTAACTGTGAGCGCTGACATTGCCAGAGACAGACTTGTCTTTGTGTTTTGTTTCCCTTCAGGCTGCGAAAGAGACCCAACAGACACCTAACACCAAAGTGAGTAGGATGATTCCAGTTATCTGTATGAATAGCGCCGTCAAAGAGGAATAATTCTTGCTGTCGTTTTCAGTCTCAAAGACACTGTTTTAATTTCTTAATCCATTAATCATCTCTGTTATGAAGGGTGGGTTGTTATGTAATTTGCTTTGTCTGTTCAAGACATTACCCCATTCGGAAGGACGGGGCTGATGCGCTGCAGCCTGTTGCTTGCCGTGCCCTGGGCAGGGGGGTCCCTGCACGCTGACCTCTGGGACCAGCTGATGCCTGGACGTGCTGCAAGTGTCTTGTCCTTCACCCATTTCCAATAGCCTGTGTGTTCATGTTGTTTTCTAGAGCACTGAACAGCAGCCGGTTACCTCTGTAAAACCAGACAAAAATGTCCCCTCCTCTCAAGAGCCACAGGTCACTAAACAGAGCACAAAAGCCCCTGAGCCGGCAGCCCAACAGCAGGCAGCGGCCAGCGAAGCCCCCAAAGAGGCAACGAAGGAGAAAGCAGCATCCACCCCTATGCCACTGAGCAAGCTCTTCTGGAAAAAGGTATGTCTGGATTCCAGAGCCGGTCCGTCCCACAGATCCATCTGCACACAAAGGCTAGTTGTCGCTAAGCACAGTAACGCAGTCATGTCTGCAAAGCTGAGCGTGTCCCACTTGCTAAATGCGTGAGGGGCACAAATTATACATGCAGTTATAAATGCATACGTTACCGTTTGCATCTACGTAATGGCAGTTAGACCTCTGCAGAAGAATCTTGAAAAACTGTGGACTGTTGGTGCTATTTTTGAATGATATTATGGAAGAAGGAATATTACGCTGTCAATTTAACACGGTTGTTAAAAATCCTATAGAGATATAGAATTCTGTATCATTAATACTATATCATTAATAGAGATATAGTCATAAAAATACGTCTCATTTTTATGAGAACTGTTTAGTTTAGTTCTAAATGTCTGAAAACCTGCAATCTGGTGGGTTTATCCTTAGCCAGTAAAAAAAGTTTCATACCAGAGTGGATCAGTTTTTAAGTTTGGTGGTTGAGGTCGATTGCTTGGGAAGACATATTTTTCCTCGGGATAAATAATGATTTCAACTAAAATTAGGACTAACTTTGAAAACATGGTTCCTGTTTCCATGACCCTCAGTGGTTAACAAGCTGAAGGCTTATTCTTTCCTCACTTCATTTAAGAGAAGAGCTGTATGAAACTTTACTGGATCCCTGTATGTTGAATAACTGCCTTCCTGGGCTTCTGTTCAAGTTCAAATCCCAGAAATGAAATGTTTCCAAACACACAGATGCTGACTGAGCGGCTAGCCCTGCAGCTTCTTGAGCTGTATCTTCTCCACTGGGCAGTGATACTGGAGATACAGTTTGGGTACATTGCTTACATTAAAAAAAAATATATATATATATATTTTAGATATTTACAGAATAAACTGTCTTAAACACAATCTAAGCTTGAAACATTTGTTACTTGGGACTTAATTTCCTGTGGAACTGGGTGAATCAAGTATTTAAAATGGGAGGAAAGTTGTGAAGAAGAGGGAGACGGAGGTTTTATATATAGTTGTTATTGCTACAGAAACCTCCTCTTCTGTCTGAGTACTCTGGGTTATTTGAAAGCAGAGATGGGAAGCAGGATGTATGCTGAACATCAGGATGAAATAAGGGAAAAAAAGCCTTCCGGCAGACGGCTGCATGCAGCTTCAGTGTAAAATTGAGAGGAATAAATCTAGTCTGAAGTTCAGTATTTTGATGATGAAGTAATAAGGCCTTTTGTATATTTGAGAAAGAAAGAAAAAAGCATGTGAGAAGGGAAAGGGGTTTTTTCTGAAAAATAGTGAAAAACCACTCCTGGCAGGGAGGGATTGGTGGTGATGGTTGGTTTAACCAAAAAAAAAAAGAATCCAATAAGGTTTTGGTAAGATTTCAAAACCTTTCTTTGTCAGATTAACCCAAACTAACGTAGCTATAGATACTTTTTACTGCTCTGAATAATGCAGGTTCTGCCCACACTGAACACCAGCTCCCATCCATATTATAGCAAAGATAAACTAGGTCTAGGTACCCACCCTGTGTCTTTTTAACTTTACAACCATCTTCATGTGAAGTTCTGGGATCTCAAACATCTCAAAGGTATAAACCTTGCATCAAAATTCTGCTTGTTTATAATATTGGGTTTAACTTATCCTACATCATCATTAACATAAAGCTGCTTACATCAGTGAATAGAAAGTGCAGAGAACTCTCTACAACTCTGAGCAGGTTTTGGTTGCTACCAAAAATATCAAGGGTTAGTTAAATCATTTATCCAAATGCACTGAGCTAAAATAGCACACAAAATCTGACTTTTAACTTTGTAAAATGAGGCCATTTCTGCTTAGTTAGAACTTTTTGAGTCTGGAATCATCCTGAGATCAAATGTTTTTGCAAGTTTTCTGGAGTAAATTTCTGCAGTAGAGAACTGAATTTGGAAAGGATTAAAAAAAAAAAAAAAAGTCTGCCTGCTTGAGCATTGAATCCTTGCCTATAAAAGGCTGATGTTGCTTTACTGTATTTTCTTGACAGAGAATAATATTATATTTCCTTTGATGAAAGTCCTTGGTGCCACCATCAGCTTGAAGAAAAAGATAGATGTAAAAAAAAAAAAAAAAAAATCGTTAGACTACAGGTTAGCTTCCAACTCAGCTTGTTTTGAGGATTGAGTCTTTTTTTTCCTCCAGCGATTTTACCTTTTTTTTCTTTTCTTTTCTCCTGGTACTCTTAATATAGTGCCCTTTTGCTAGAGTAGAGAATCGAAGCTAGCCGCTGTTCCAAATAGGTGCATGACTCAGCCATGTAGTTTTTCTTTTTGAACTAACAAATAGCAACCACAACACCCAACAGATCCAGGATTCGGATCCAACTGCTCTCTTTCCAGGCAGTCTCTCAAATATCTATCTTCTGATGAGCTTTCACTTCAAAGTGAAGCTAACAAAGTGCCTGTCGGCACACTGCAGTTAATGCTGCTGCTCTGCCTACAGACAAACAAATATCTAAAAGGAAAAAAAAAATCCTTATTCAACTCCTCAGATAGAAACCACTTCAGCTGTGCTCGCCCCACGGCCCCATCCGTCTGCACAAGAATTTTCGCAACTGTTACTCAAATGTTTGTCACACAAGCATTTTTTTTTTCAAATACTAAGGAATATTAATAGAAAAGTACAGTTAGTAATTTCATGTATGTGTGTTGGAAACCTGGTTTTCAAGACGTTGTAGATATCTGATCAGGGCAGAGAAACATGACGCTTTCTTCGTATCTGATCAAAGCACGCCAGTAAATGATGGAGGAAAGCGATCGAGGGAGCATTACTTTGACTGCTCTGTGAATTACCTTTAAAGTGGGTGTATTTTTTAAAGACTAGAAGTTTAAGCTGTTGCAATTCTGTTGGCATACAAATACAGAAAAAATCATGCCCTTTTTCCTGAGGAATATTTATGCACTGATAGTAGAGACAGCAGACTGGTTAGCTATTCAGTGAAGCAGAGTAACACCTTTTATTGCTGAGCCTATAGGCATACTCTGCCACAGGGAAAGCAAAAATAAATATTTGGGTGGAGTGTGTGAGATAAATGTTAAAATTACCCAGGAATTATCAATTTCCCGCAGCAGTTTGCCTGTTCACATCCTGGAATACACCACCTACCAGGCAGGAGAGAAGGAGATTCTGGCCATTTTTTGCCAGATAAAGGGATGAAAAAGTTTAATGAGAATTCCCCCTGGCTGAGGGAGTGATGAGGATAACAAGCAATGGGCTCTTGGGATCATTTCACCAGCTGGCTGCTGGGGTAGCTGCCATCCATACAGCAGGGCAGGACCCGAACCTCCCCAGCCCAGCAAATAAAACCAACAGGGCTGATGAGCCAGAACCATACCCCCGGGCTGTGCACAGACCAGTGGTTTAACCAGACCTGACAGGGGTTAATACCAGCTGGGTGACAGTCTGAGCTGTCACAGCTCAAGCTCTGCTGAGTGGCACCTCCAGGCAGCAGCCGCAGGTCCCAGGGCTGCAGGGTGGAGGTCCAGGAGCATGGTGATGACTAAAGATGAGCTGCCTTCACTGCAGCAACCTCTGTGCATCAGCACAGGAGGGCAGGAAGGTGGGGTAAAGGCGCTCGAACCCTCTCTGCTTCCTGCCTGTGAGCTGCGGGAACAGGTCTCGAGCATGACTGCTCTTTTAAGTGGAAATTTCTTGAGCAAAAGGTCATCTCTCATATATATCATTAAGATAAAACAACAACTGCTCCATAAAGAAGGCATCAGCCGAGTAAAACAGAAGAACTGTTCCCTGAGTCTAATGAATGCAGCGGAGAACGCTGGTTCAGACTCTAGCACAAGCTCAAAGCAGGGCATAGTGTTTACCTCAATTTTGAGGAAAGATGCAGCAAGCAAAAGGAAAACTCCCATCAAAGTCATCCACGGCACAAAAAAAGTTACACTCTCATAAGGCAATAACCTGTATGGTCAGAAATCTAGATAAGAAAATGGTATAGTAACAGTTCCCCAAAGCAATAAGAGGGTTTGTAAGAACCAGAAGACTAGACACAGACTTTCCACCATAACTGCTCTAAGTAAGCTTATTACTAAAAGAAAATTAGGGACACTGCCATTTAAGAGCTGGAAGAATGCTTCCCAAATATAATGAAATAAAGAGCCTAGTAAAATATCAACTACAGCTAGCAAAGATAAATTGAGTCACAAAACTTGATATTTTTTTTTCTCCCAGAGGAAGTAAAGAAACTGAACCCATTGCTCTAGAGAACAGTTCAGGTTAGTGTAACATCGTTCAAAGTTTATTGACTTTATCTTTGGAAGCTCTTCCTATGACACTTTCAATTCCTGCTAGAAACACCTTAGCCATTCCCTTGAATGTACAAAAGAAAAATTTTCTTGCAGTTTCTTAGAGGAAACAGGGACAAAAATGAAAAGCTCTGTTCTTAAAAGTATGTCAGCAAACCTTCTTGGCTGGAAGGCTTTTCAGCCCTGCTGAAAGGCCACAGGCATCCTCTGCATCTCAAGTACACAATGTACCATAGTCACACGTCATCTGCCTCCAAGAGTCTGCCATCACGGCAGTCTTATTTGAGAGGATCTTGTCATGTCTCTAGAGTTTCCTTTTGTCCCAGCATACCTGAATACCATATTCTGATTGCACAAAAATTGTGGATCCTCCAGCCTTGGAGAGATACTGAAAGCTCAATGTGAGGAGTTCCTCAGCAACCTGGTGCAGCTCCTGCTTTGAGCGGGAAGTGGGAGTAGCCCTCCAGAGATATCTTTGAGATCACAAAATTGTGAAAGAATATTCAGCATCAGTTAATTCAGTCTTAGAGAGGGTTGTGTATATGAGAATGATTCCTGGAGATAATTACAAGACAGCTACCATAAAATGTTTAATGGGAAGCCTAAGATCTCTAGCAAGATAACCTGCAGCTTCTGCAACAGCTTTGATATACCTTGCAGAGTACCACATTGACTGCATGGGTAGATTGGATATCCAAGTTTAAAAAAAAAAAAAAAAATCAAAATCAGATATTCTAGATCAGAATTTAAACTTTGCTAAAACCTTCTATGGAATCCATCAAGAAACATACAATAAGTCTCTGATTACTTTAAACAAATCAATCTGAATCGTTGCCTATTACTTAGCTCTTTATTTGAACAGACAGTGCTTTTTTGAGTTTGGCATCTCGCTCCGGGATGCATTTGTTATCAGCAGTGACACTAACGCCATTGCATAGGCAGAGCTTGAGAGACAAAACTCATCTGGGCTGCAGCTGTAACAGCACAGCAGCAATAGGATTGCAAACTGCAATCTTTGAACAATGAGCTCCCAGAAGCTAGGTTGCTCCTTTATTGAGCCACTGTTTCAAGTCATGCAATGAATCATTTCCTTCAAGCAAATAGATGTTGAATTGATTATATGTTTGTGTGAATAGGCAGAAATATAGATTAAAATTATTATAGATTATCTCAGCAATGTTCATAAATATAAATTAAATCTACAATTCTGTGGGGAAGCAGGCTGTGCCGCAGTCATCTCGGGCAGCAGGGAACAAGGAATATTTATTCCCTCATCATTCTTCTCTCCCCCACCCCTAAAATGTTCATTTCTTCCACAAAAGAGAAGTAAAGAACAAAGCAAAACCTCTCATGCTGCTGCAGAAGTCCATGTGGGGACTCACCTTGCATGCGGGGTCCCCCCAAGTCAAAAAGAATACGATAGATCTAAAATGTATAATATTGAGAGAAAAAATGCACAAATACATTGAATGGCTCCTGTATGAAGAACTACATAGACTAGGATTTTTTTTTTTTTTTTAATCTCAGAAAGGAGTTGGGAGAAAAGCAGATGACAGCAGCACACAGAATGACGGCTGTAACATAAAGGGTGAACAGGAAAGATCAGTCCTTGCTCAAAATAAAAGCAGTAGAGTATCAAATAAAATTATTTGGTGACAAACAAAAATAAAGTACTTAAAAAAAAAAAACCTTTAGCTGTCAAATTCTTTGCCATGGGATGCTGCTGGCTGTCAGGGATGTATATTAATTCAGAAACTGTTTAACCAAATTTCTGTAGAAAAAAAAAAACATCAAGGGCTATTAAACTCAAGTTGCTACATCACTGAGTTAAAGATGATTGGAAATGTATATGAGGGCAGTAGTATGTAAACTGCTGCTGGTGGCAGCATCCCTTTTTCACAACTCAGAGTCAGGTCTGGGGCTGTGATGAATCTTTGGTGTTATCTTTTAAATTGTTCTTGTGTTCATGTGGCTAAAACTACTTTGGGCAAAATAACTATGCGTATGCATTAAATGTGAGTTCTTACATGTAAAAATTGTGAAATATAAATCACTGAGATTTACTTGCAGCAGTTCTTTCCTATAGTAACCATAATACACATTTCAGCTGTAAGAAGGCTGTATTTTTAAGCAGCAACACGTGTTGAAATGCCAACACCTGGGGTAACTGCGTCTGTTTGATTTGGTGTTGGAGGCTGAGGGTGTAACTCACCCTGTTTTTATAATGTTCTGCATCTTGCTGCAGTAGGCTGAAAAATGATAAAGGGCTTGCTTCAGGTCAAATTACCTGGTTATTAGCATAATAGCTTCTTTTTATGGCAGAAAGGAAGATACTTCTTTATACAGTTACAGTGGGCTGGGAATTAATTAGCGGTTCTTGAGGGCACAGAAGAAAATCCCACCATCCTAATATACTCTTTTGAATTGAAATTAATCAAATTCCTGGAGAAACGTGTACAGATCCAGTAAAGCTGAGAATGCTTTCATGCTGCATTTGTTCCTGATGTACCGACTCACTGAACACTTTGATTGTAACCTCTTAAAAAACAAACCAAAAAAATCACACACAAACAAAAAACCACAAACAAAAAAAGTCTGATTTTTTTTTTCTTTCTTAATATTTGCAAAACAACCCAGAACGCATCAGAAGAAGCGGAGATCATAAGCAATGAGAAAGCAGAGGTGTCTCTAGAAGCGGTGGCTGGTGACAAGGACGAGAGCAGGAGCCCCGAGGCTGCGGAGGCGAGACCCAGGAGAGAGGAGAGCAAAACCCCCAAGGCCAACCTGCGGAAGTTTTTTAAGCTGGTAAGTGCCAAGGGCTCAGAGTGAGGTGCTCGCTGCCTGGCTGGGGGTGATAGCTCTTGACAAGGTGCGGGAGTGCAGCCCTGCCCGCTTCCAGAGGGGCGGGCGCAGCTG